TGTCGCCTTTTGTCTGATGATTTCCACACCAGCGGAGCTGTGTATATAGAAATATAGCAAATATTTCATCATATTTGAAGAGGCAAAAATTGAGTGGTTTATTCCTGGGTGCGGAGTAAGCGATGTCATGAACAGGTAAGATGCCGATTCATTAAGGATAATGCGGGTAAAATGTTACCAAAGCGCGTTCGTCGCACTATGCGTGGTAAGCGTTAGACTATCTGCTGCACGTAGAATTGAGATCATGCGCTGCTACTTCGGATCTTTCCCACGCGCTTTTAGATAAGCTTATGTATACTAGTAAATTTTCTCATTAAGTCCTGTTGGTGTTTGTGTTATTCATCGAGCTAATTTGTCAGTGATTTGGCTTAATTATATTGGCTTCCCATACCGGCTTCCACACAGGTTACATTTGCACTATAGAGGGAATCCCTTAGGGCCACGGATTTTCATTTATTGCTTCTCATGAAGACAGCAGTTGTTCCTAGCGAAAGTATTTGTTTTCAGACGCGTTTACCCATAGCCCGCTGTGCCTTTTGACCAATTCATTTCAGACTACCTCCAGAGTCTGCACAGCTAGGAAGGATCAGTTGGTCGGTTGAACTAGGTTAGAGGGTGAACCGTAAAGGATGACGACTTGAATTACCTCGCAGTGCTTACTCATGCATTCCATGTAGCATATGTAGGGGAAGAGCAGCTTTGCCTGATCGCTACGCTGAAGCCGTGCATTTGTTTCCTGCATCAAGCATTAGCTTCTCTTTGTTGAACGCAGGGGAAAAATAGATGCATTGTCGCCAGTTCTGTAACTCTCGAGATTAATGACGTTGTTGGATAGCGGTATCCCGGTGATTACTACTTTCAAGTCAATTATGAATAAATCGAATATTAAAGTTATGATTTCGAATGATTGCAGATTAAATTCACTCCTAAAAGGATGTGATTGTATGCTCGTGCCATGCTTCACCCCATAGAAGATACCAGCCGGTTATCGATTTTGAAGGGGGTCATGGTGAACGGCATATTTTGCAGTTGAGCATATATCACCACTTTTCGGTGGAAGATAGCACCAGCGGGAATCGATAACTTAGGTTTCGGGATGGTATATAATATTGGTATGCAGGTCAGATGGCTAGTAAATGGCACTCCGCATCCACTGCTGGGTAGATAATTGCGTAGGATAGTCATGCTGGACAAGGATATTTCCGCATCTATGCTCACAATAGTCAGAAAACGTTAGTTATCATATTGCTATTCTAATGACCGGAATCTTGAAGCGTACAAGGTTTGGTTAAATTTCGGAGTACTTGAGCGTTGGTATACAAGCATGTGAGGGCCTCAAACTTTAGCAGCGTATTTGTAGGTGGGGCTTCTGGCTGAAGATTTTTGCCGAATTTTGTTAGGTCGGCTGTTGGTTGTGTTATTGTTGAAACCTAATCAATGGCCCCGGGGTAATTCCGAGACGGTATGTAGAGTTCTTGTCATCATTAAATGACTGAAAACATAGACATCCTATAGCTGCTGGAGCGTTCCGGCAGCACCCAGGTTCCGAGTGTCTTGAAGACGTGGAGCACGCAATGATTGCATGTTCAGCGTCATCTCATCGATTTATTGCCTGGTGACCATCTACTATTTAGTAATTCGGTTGACGGCTTCTTGCACCATTGTAGCTTTTTTGTCACCACATTTTCCTCTATGGATGTGCATTGTACTATTGCTTTTAACATTCGTGTCCAGCACCCTCCCAATTTAGGCGATAATGGTGGTCCAGAGATCGGATAGATGACCATACTTTCGCGTGCGTGTAATTATCGGGTGAACCGCCATTCAATCCCTTCACGAGCTTTTGCCTCTACCTATTCTGGAGTCTGAAGCTGGGGATGCCTTTGACGAGGAGCGAGTTTACATCTATTGGTTTGCGATAGTCGTCTGAGTTTAGTTGACTTTTCCTGACGTTCGCATCATGGTACTTCCGGAAAAAAGGGAATATCCCATTGAATTGTTCGGAGGCGAGCAGCTGAGAAGAAAACTGTCTCTGCGTCATCTACTGACCTAAGCGTTTATTGGACTAGTTTAGTTCCTCGCCTTGTGCAGAGTTTAGATGACGGACGTGGTGCAACACTCTGGAAGGCTTTCAATTGTCTCCCGTTAAGTAATATATGTTGTCCCACTGTTTCCGACCGTATAGGAGTTTACATTTTATAAAGTTCACCTAGGATTAGGGCACATACTTGCGACGTATTTTTGGATTAGTTTGTGACCGCGTTTTAATGCATATTTCCGTGTAGGAATTAACAAGGATTTATTCCAGCATACGTTAACGGCAATTTGTTCCTAGTATAAAGATGCAAAGAACATAAGCCCAAATGCATTGTGAACAATCAACCTCGATAGCAAGTATAATAATATAGAGTTATATTTATATCTGTGACAACCGAAACCGCAGTACAGTGCAACTTACATTTTATCTTAGCACTACTCTTTAAAAGATCAATGTGAATGTGCCTGGCGATTTTATAAATTTGCCAAAAATGAGTACGCAAACAAAGGGCTATTCAGTTCTAACAAACGTATTGCTTTTAATGTAGCTTGATGCGAGCGTGCGTATAAATATTAGAAAAGCAATTGGGAAAGCAGCTTTATCTCGGTTGCACTGGACACAAGGTAAATAGCATTTATGTCGAATATGAAATAATTCTAGATTTTGGACTCTCAATAAAATTAGGGAAAGCTGTAATAAGGAGGCCAAAATACTAAGCTTTCATCGGCATCATAAAGCACCTTTTGTAAATTGCAAGTGAAGACGCTGTCTTTAATGTTTCGAAAAACCTTTATAAATCCATGGTCTCAATATTTCCACAGAATGTATCCTGCTACTCCTTTCTATTGGGTTTTACGGATGAGCGTCTACTCGTGGCGACCGTTGTGTGGGAGCTGGTTTACCCCCTTCGCACTGCTAAGATCTAGGACACCAATCCGCATGAGTCAGTGAAATGACCATGTGCTAATCCCGCTACATTTCTGGTGTTCATTTAATCGAAAGCTTTGGCTAAGGACCCGCGTCGTACTCCTGTCAGGTGTGGGCGCCCTGCCAGTGTCCTAGTCCATGCTCTTCGGAGGTTAGGAAGTGGTTGATGGTCCCCTTCCCGTAAAACCCAGCTATGGGAGACAACTGGTCTACGGGTTATAAGCTTCCAGCTAGATTGGCGTAGAGCACGAGCGCCACGCATTTTCCCTGACTGTAGGAGGGCACTTCCGGATGTTCAATGGTTTGTTACTGCATGCCTGAAGCTAGGCAGCCCCTGGACAAATTGGTGCACACCCACCAAAACCCGCCTGCGTCTGGTCTTGGTCGCAAATGCGTATCCTACTGCGGTCGCATAACCCATATGAATCTTCATCATACCTCAAAGTCTGCGTGTGACGGATCTCAAGCAGATCGCATTCGGTCTCTGCAATCCCATTCCCGAGCTGGATCTGCTCCCTACTGTCTGGAGGGTAAGGCTTTTGAGCCAAAGCCTCCGGGTGGAGTCCCTCAAGCAAACCTCCAAATCACCAACTGCCTTGTGGGTCAGGCTATTGAGTCAAAGGCTCCAGGTTGAGTCCCTCAAGCAAACCTCCGAAGCACAACGACCAACTCGCGTGCGATTGGCCACCAATGTAATCGTATGCCTGCGCGCAAAGCACTCAGCATCGGGTGTTTAAACGTCTGCAAATTACTGAACCGGAACTCGAGTGATCGCCCTGAGCGACGCATTGCATGGTCGCGGTGGAACTGGCTCGCTACCACATCGATATTGCGGCGCTCAGTGAAACCCGGCTCGCTGAGCAAGGTATATTGCATGTATCAGGTGCTGGCTACACATTCTACTTGGTGGGCAACACCGCATTGGCACCACATGCACATGAGGTCCGAATTGCAATATCCTATGGCCTCCGTGGCCAGCTGGTGGGTGAACTAACAGGCATCAGCGCGCGACTGATTGTTCGCCTACGACCCGGAAGTGGTAACGTTGCTACTTTTATAAGCACGTACAGTCCGACCATTTACTATCCTGATGACACGCGTGGTCAATCCTACGCTGAGCTATCCTCTGTGATACGGTCTGTGCCAATGAGCGACCGACTATTTCTGCTGGATGATTTCAATGCGCGCGTTGGGCGTGATGCATCGCTGTGGACAGATTTTAACGGTTTGCAAGGCACTGTTTCAGCGAATGCGAATGGTGACAGGCTGCTCTCACTGTGTGCCACTCATGACCTGACGATCACGAACACTCGGTTTGCAATAAGTGCGAGTGATATAGCAATGGACGCACCCACGGAGTGGTCACGTTCACCTGCTCGACTATGTCATTGTACGTCAGCGTGATATGCGTAAAGTGCGCATGACGCGTGTACTGCGTGGAGCTGAGTGTGGCACTGATCAGAAATTGGTGCGGCCCAAACTGTACATGTATTTTCGTAAATAGATGTATTCCACTCCCGCCGTGAATCGACGTAAATATAACATTCTCTCCCTCGGTACTGTGGAAAAACTTATTGAGCCGGAGATGACGATGGCTGCACGCCTGTGTAATGTGGACTGCATAGCCACAGTGCGCGACCTGTGGCACCACCTTCGCGACCAAGTGACAGCTGCTGCCGAGGAGACCATCGGGAGCGCAAGCTGTAGATGGCCAGATTGGTTTGATGAGAAAAATGCGACGATTAGCGCATTGGTGTGTGAGAAGAATGCAGTATTTACTGCACATGTGGCAGACTCCAGTGACTTGGGAAAGAAGAGTCAGTTTCGCAAACTGCAACGGGGACTGAGCCGAGAGCTCGGTTGCGCTAAAAATGCGTGGTGGACGGAGAGGGCGAAGCAGATGCCATGCTGCGTCTAATGTCGCCAACACGGGGAATTCTTTGACTCATTGAAGGCCGTGTATGGACCGGGATTGGAGCCGCTGAGGACGCTGATCGATGGTAGTTCAGGCGCTACCTTTACAGAGACTACAGACATGGTGAGGATCAGGCGTAAATACCTTGACTGTCTCTTGTACAACCGTTCAGATATCGAATGGTCTACATTAAACGGACTCAAGCAGCACGAAGTGAAGGCGAGTCTGGCAGACACGCCGACACTGGATGAGATGAAGAGAGCATTTACTCAGCTACAAAACGACAAGTGTGCCGGGGCTGATGGGATCCCGCCTGAAGTATTGAAACAAGGCGGGCTCGCGTTGATAACTGAGCTGCACCACTTAATGCAACGCGTATGGTTCGAGGAGGAGGTGCTTGCTGAGCTGAAGGATGACCTTGTGCTGCCACTGTAAAAGGGTAAAGGTAGCAAGCAATGTTGCACGAATTATCGTGGCATTAACTTTTTGAGTTGTGTAGGCTACGTGATTACCCGAATCCTGCTTAACCGCTTCGTCAGTAAGGTTGTGGAGCCTAACGAGGCGGAAGAGCATTGTGGATTCCTTTCGGGTCGTAGCACTATTGATATGGTGTTTGCGGCTCGTCACTTGCAGGAGGAATGCAGAGAATTACCGCAGCAGTAGTAATCGTTATTTCTTGATTTCACCAAGGTATTTGGTACAATGAACCGAGAGGCATTGAGGTTGGTGTTGAATAAGTTTGTTTGCTTGCGTAATTTTGTAAATTTATTTGAATGTCTGCAGAGTGGTATGCGAGCGAGGGTGCAGCTTAGCGGAGAGACCTCGAATGAATTTGCAGTTGTCTGTGGTGTGAAGAATACTGGTTCCTAGCTCTTACGCTGTTTAATATATATCTTCATACAGCGATGTCTTGTGCTTTTGATGCGGCCTGTGCCTACGGTGTTCGTGTGGAGCACCGTATTGATGGTGGGTTGCTGAACATCCATCATTTCGGTGCGAGAACTCTAGCCTGTCAGACAACTATCCTTTTCACTGTTTGCTGACGAATGTGCGTTGTTTGCACACAGCGCGGATGAGTTGCAACACATGACTAGTGCTCCGGCTTCGACAACTGCCAAATTCGGACACACCAACAGCACAAGCAAAACTGTCTGTCGCTTTTACCCTTTACCTGAGTTACAATCTTTAATATTGCCGCGAATCGGCATTGATGCTGAAGTATTGAAAACTACCTGCCGCTTCAGCCACTTTGGGAGTGTGATTTCGACCGACCAGCAGCTACACAGTGACCTGCGTATTCGCGTGTCGAAGGCAGCGGTGGCATTCGGGAAGCTTGAGTACCGATTGTAGAACAACCATCAGCTTACCATTGCACGAAGCTGATGGTGTACAAATACATGATGCTGTACGTTCTTCCATACGGCAGTGAAATATGGACGGCGTATCGGCGGAATATGCGATATCTCTAGCGGTTCCATCAGCAGAGGTTACGATGCATTTTGCGCATCGGTTGTAGCGACAGAGTTGCTTACACGGGAGTGTTGCGACAAAGCGGGATGTATGCAGTGGACTACATACTTTTGCTGAGACACCTGAGGTGGATCGGTCATGTGAGCTGTATTGATTCCACACGGATATTGAAGCAACTTTTATATGGTCAGCCGAGTACTGGGAAGCGGCATTTAAGGAAACCAAATTTACGTTAAAAGGGCATGCTCAAATTGAGCCTTCCACGTTCTAATCTTGAATGCAGTTCATGGGAATGGAATGCGGTTGATCAGCGCGCGTTGCGCGATCAAATCACGAAGGCAGTTGCCGAAGTGCGGGAGAAAGACCTTATACATGCAGAGGAAAAGCGGCAAGTGTGGAAGCGGCAAGCACCGGTGGGTTGTACTCTATCGACATCGAGCGCATGGTAGTGTTGCACATGCTGTCGCGAGTGCCTGAGTCAGGCAGGCCTAGTGAGCCATGAGCGACGTCACTAGGGACCACTACCGAAGCGACGACGGGTCCTGCAGATAACGTAGGCAGAAACAGCGCAGTGTTTGTAGGTACGCTGCATTCGATTTACTAACCACGTGCTCGCATGCTAAGTCTCTTTATTTCAGGTGGTGGGTTTGCAATTTTGTCCTAATGCTTTCTCATATATGCAATGTGAATTAGTTGCCAGTTGTAACCAGGTGGATACAGAGTTAAATATCCAAACTTAAATTCCAATAGCCTTGGTTTCCAAATCTGCTGTTTCCACATGGTAATCTCATTAAGATCGAAACGCGCCGTGAAATGCCGTGCTTTCGTGCGGGCAACTCCACTGAAGCAGTGTTGTAGAAGGCGAATTCCCTATCGAAGTGTGACATGTGACACGCCCGAAGTAACCTCATTGAGAAGTCGCTTGTGACACACCTCTTATGAATGCACCCCAATTCGTCATTCCTTGTGATACGTGACAGCCTTAAATCCCGCATACTGTCACAACCATAATTTGATCTTTGTGTCCTAGTTGCATTTCATCGCACGAGCTAAAATATGTCCTCCCTTTGTGGTTTTAAGCCATCCTGCGCTAAATAATCGCAATCAGTTTAGATTGTATAACTCCATTGTAAAACAGAATTTGCCATATTTATCGTTGTGTGTTTCTTGCCTCCTTACTTCTTGCGGCAGGTGTATACGTCGCATCAGTGTTTCTCAATCATTGATTCCGCCTAAAGTATTTTAACCTTTTTCTATTGGTGAGTAAATGTTGTCACTTGATTCCTTTAAACATGCATATTACAGCGTTCCCAGCTTGCATAGGGCCAATACTGTTCTCTTGGAAATATTAGTAGCAGCAAGACAAATGGGCGAACCTATGGCCCAATATTTTCAGCAGTGTTTAGATCACAAACAGGATCGCGCCATGTGGAAGCTTGGCATAATTCACTACAATCCCCAACGTAGTTAGCAGGACTAAGCCATCAAAATACTGCCCTGTCTACCTTATCCCGGTTTGTTCAGTATGATGGAATACACATATTTCGACGCTTTAGAGATTTATTTGGAAATTACAAATATATGGCTCGCGAGAACTATGGCTTCCATCAATATTTAGCATGCGTCATGAATTTACGAATATCACTGATTAGTTGAAAGGTATAAGCTGACGCTGGAGCTTTCGGTCAAATTCACCGGGAAGTTCGAAGGAGTTCCATTGTCTAACGCGTCAGATTTTCTTTTCTAAACACCGATATTTCGGAGTCAGTGAACTTTACTAGATTTGAATCGCTAACTACCTCATTTTAGTTGTCAAAGGCTATCTAAACAACCGCATACAAGTCGGGTGTAGAGCGCATCAGGGCCTACATCTGGGACAACACCAGTGATCAAAACAAATTTTTGAACCAAATTCTCTAAATTTTGTTGATGTCATCGATAGGTGATGGAGTTCTCAGTGGAAGCTTGATCAGCAACCGACATAAATGATACAAGTCGATAGCAAATCAATAATCTACTAAAGTTTGAAGTATGCAAATTTAAGGTTCCTTCCACTTAACATTAGATCACCTGTGCCTACATGTTTAACGGCGATGCTTTGCCAAACGTTATCTAAGTGTCGGTGCCAGGAAGACTTGTGTTGCTTCATGAAATCCGAAAATGCATGAAGTTTTGGAAACCAACACCCCGAGCTGTTGTGGCGGCCTATGGACATATATGCCTATACACATCATTCAAACACGTTGCAATTATATTTTCTTTACATCGAATACTTAGTACAAGCCTGGCGACCGTGGCTAAATATAACCTAACTGCTCTGAAGCAGCTCTAACATCAGACGTTCAAGTGAATTACTACAAGGTGTAATGGTCTAAGGGAACAGAGGTTGAAACGCCTGACGTTATTCACTAGACTTACTCGTCATTTATCATGATTCTGCGGATGAAATAAAACCATATGGCATACTGTAAAATTTATTGTTTCAATAAAGCAAGAAGAAACAACATTTTAACCGAATTTACTGAATTCAGCGATTTCGCGTATTCTCCTCAGCGGTTTACATACAACGAGTGGAAAACAGTGCGATGTTAGCAGCAAAAATTCAAAGCGGTCGAAGGTCTTTAGGCTCACGTGACCTGTTCCGAGGAAAACGCAATCACTAGCCTCACCAGGGTAGGGCTAGTGTGGTCACGAAATCCGTTTGCTTGCATAGATTTGGCTTCAGCCGCCGAATTGCTGCCGCCTCCGCAAACTGTAGTAAACGGGGATTAGCTTGTTTGCTAACTACCCTGAAATTGCCACGTGGGTTCTGGCATTCAGGGCAGTCAATTATGTGGCGGGCAATAGAGCTAGTCGGTAGCTTCGGACCCTTAGCGATCATGTTTCGCGGAACATGCTCTGCAATCCTTGCTGACAGCCTTCTCTCAGTTCGGCCTATGTACTTACTACCGCAAGTACAATTAAAGAGGTAAATGCATGAGGCGGTAACTTGAGAGTCTGGTCTGTCTAGGTTGGATTTACAGAGTAACCTTCTGACTTGATGCAATACCACTAGCTTAGCCGCATGGTAACACTTCTTAATTGATTGACGGAGGCGATGCCGGCATCTTCGGTCAACTTGATCTCCTTTGAAGGGCAGTGTAATGAATACTTTTTTCTTTGGGACATCGGTTGATTGTTTATCTCCGGATCGTATTTTCGCATGCCGAGCTATAAATCGTGCTGGATACCCATTCTCTTGTAGCGTCAAGGTGACTCGTTCCAGTTCATGTTCGATTGTGTCTAATGAGCAAATTTTGCGAGCTCTAGCAAAAGTGGTACGTACTAGAACTCTATAAACGAGCTCTAGTACGTACCACTTTTGCTAGAGCTCGCAAAATTTGCTCATCAGACACAATCGAACATGAACTGGAACGAGTCACCTTGACGCTACAAGAGAATGGGTATCCAGCACGATTTATAGCTCGGCATGCGAAAATACGATCCGGAGATAAACAATCAACCGATGTCCCAAAGAAAAATGTATTCATTACACTGCCCTTCAAAGGAGATCAAGTTGACCGAAGATGCCGGCATCGCCTCCGTCAATCAATTATAATAATTCTAATATTTGGTGGTAGTTCGCGTTTGTGAAGACAATGCAGACAATCCACTTGGTTGGTACCGACGGTTTACTTACCCTCAAGAAATTTGCATATAAAAGCCAACGCACTAAATTCACATAAGTTTGGCTAATACAACATTATTGGTCTTGAAAACCTGTCTGTTGTTGTTGCTGCTATTCAAGAAATGAAGCTAAGGGAATAGACGAAATTGATGTGGCTTAAATATCTCAACACCCTCAATGGCCGCCGCTGCAAACGTAATCAAATAGTTTAGTTTGGTTTGCTAGCTGAGCGACGGAAGTAGATTGAACAAATACAATGCACCGAACTTGCGGTTTAAGGCAGCAATGCAAATAACAA